TTTTTTTTTTTTTTTTTTTTTTTCTTTTCAATCAAGATACGTTCCAGTAGATATATCAACATTATCATGACTAGAGTTTCGTCATTTAATCTTTCTATACTTACTCGACACTGTAGGCGTGGATATATCCGTTACTACTACTGTTATCGTTACTACTACTTCATAAAGGTTTTTAAAAGATTGAATATCGTATACCGTTAAATGGAATAATGTTAGATGAATAAAAAACGCTAGATGAATAATTAAACAATTTTTTTTTTTTTTTTTTTTGCGCGCACATTACTCGATGAATATTCTTGGAATAAAATTAAAATGTAATTACGAGAAAAATAAAATTGATAGAACGAATCAAAGTTTTCGAAATATCACATCGATACAAATCAAAATATTTTCGAAATAAAAAGAAAAAGATAATCAATTAATTAATTTTTTAAATATACAATATTTAAGATGAACATTAAGTTAATATAAGAATTGCAATTTCAAATAAAAACAATTTGAAAAACATTAGATGATGAAACTTCAAAACTAATAATTCAATGCAAGTTTACATCATTATGAAACATCAAAGATTGATAAAGATTCTATTTTTTAATGTTTTTTCATTTTCAGAGTGAAATTATTAACCATTTGCACGCTGGTATTCAGTATCGCTATCGTTTTAATGGGAGCAGTAAAAGAATATTGGCAATTGGTTATTCTACGTATGGTTTTAGCAGCAGGGTAAGCTGAAATATGTGAAATGCTTCTCTTTTTGGATTGGATCTTGACCCTCTTCATCTTCATTATCTTCAAGTATCTTCTGGCAAATGTAATTAAATTTAATTCAATTTTTATAAAGTCAAGATTGCACAAGTTGAAAAAAAAAGATTATGTCTTTTTAATCTGTCTCAGTTTTATATCCATCAAGTATTTTGTTCGTGACAATGATTGTAAGAAGAAAGTGCTAAATTATTCGTCATTCTATCGACACATCTATCATTTTACTATAATCTTAATATATTCCTCTTAATATAATATATATATTTGTATAATATATACAAATAATAATTAAAGAATTTATTTTTAATTATGTATCAGTTAATATTGATGATCAAATTTCAAATTAATTCTTTTGAAGGTACTAGGATCTAACATCTGTCAGTAAAATTATTGAATTAATGAAATGACGAGGACGAGATTCGACGAAACATTCTTTCTTTTCTTTCTTTTCTCTTTTTGCAAATTATAGCGCCGCAATCCATTATCGATCATAATTTAAATTATATGATATAAAACAAACAGGGAGGCAGGATGCAATCCCTTGGCTACGGGTTTACTTTCCGATTGGTTCCCAGAGGAGCAAAGAGGACTCGTTATGTCAATATTCAATTGGGGCATTTATGGTGGTTATGGCATTGCATTTCCCGTTGGCCGTTATATTCCAAAATTAAACATTGGAAATTTGGTATTTTCATATATATTTTTTTCAAACAAAGAACATTGATTTTATTTAATAAATATTAATGAAACTTGATGAAACACAATTTGTTTCATTCAAAGATTAATATCTTATTAAGAAAATATGATAAAATATTTAAATAGGGTTGGAGAGCATGCTACTATGGAGCTGGTATAATCGGATTGATCATAGCTGCTCTTACTTTTACACTTTCTGAACCGGAAAGGAAGACGATCGGCGAGGAAGGAACAAACGCCGATGGGAAAAAAGTACCAATTTGGAAAGTGATCTTACAACCGAGGATAATATTATTATGCTTGGCTGCCAGCATCAGACATTGCGGTAAAGGGCAATACCTTGACGCGAAGGATTGAAAAATACATTCCTCAAGGGTATATTAGAGTCTATCTGGTTACTCCAGATAATTTATTTCAGAAAAATTTCTGAGTATTATATATAAATTAGATATATTTATTCTGCATTTCTCAAAATTTTAACTCTCACTTATTAATCTTACACAATGTGCTCTTTTAATTATATATAATAAGTTATTCTTTTAAAAAAAGAGTCTTTTTTTTATATGCTAATTTAATAATTGTTCACAAAACGTTATAAGATTTCTTTTCTTCGATCATTTAAAGGAAACTTTTTATTTCTAGGTGGTATGTGCTTCGCCTACAATTGCGATCTCTACTATAGAGATTACTTCCCCGATTACGATTTGGGCTGGTGGTTGTTCGCAGTTACCATAGTGATCGGTAGCATTGGTGTTGTGGTTGGTGGAGTAATTAGCGATAAATTCGTTGCGAAAATGGGTATTAGATCGCGGGTAGCTGTTCTAGCCATTAGCCAAATAATTGCTACACCGTTTGCTTTTGGCTCTGTATATTTCAATCCTTTATGGGCTATCATTACTCTTGGAATTTCATATTTTTTCGGTAAATTTACATTCATTATAATTTTAATATTTTTAAATGCTATCATAGAATGATTCAATTAGAAAAATAATTAAAATATTGACGATCTTTTTAAATGAAATATATATAATCTTATATATATAATTGCAGCCGAAATGTGGTTTGGAATCGTATTTGCAGTGGTTGTAGAAATAGTTCCTCTTCACTTTAGATCGACCACTGTTGGTGCTTTCTTATTCGTTATGAACAATATCGGTGGAAATTTACCGATACTCGTCGAACCAACCAGAATGGCTATCGGTTTCCGAGAATCTCTTTATATTTATTACGCTGGTTTCTATGGTATTAGTAAGTATTTTAGAAATTCAATATTAGAGATATTATATTAATATATTAATTCAATATATAATATAATTTCATTTAATTAATAAGCGTACTTTAATTCCTTTCAGGTTCTATCATGTTCTTTCTAACAATGTTCTTGATGGATGGAGCTGTTAAAGAAGAACCAAAGACGGAAATTAACAATAAATTTGGATATGATAATAACATATTCATTAATGACGATGGACGAGTATCGACTTTAGAACTTCCGCGAATATATCCACCACCACCACATCGATTTGAAAATTCTAAGTTATAGAAAAATATCATTTCCAAAGATCCAACTTGTATATAAATGATTGTTTGTGAAATGAAAAAAATCCATGTGAATTTAAGTGACTGTAATATATTTATTGGAATAAGTTCGACTTCAATAATAGTTACATTTTGATTCTTCTTTTATAAAATATAAATTACATAATATTCACAATTTTAAGTAATAGACATAAAAATTTTCAAATGTTTTATAATTAATATTTTAGAAGATTTAAAGCTCCATATCTTTGTAATAATTTTAATTTTATAAATATCATTTTAATGTTGTTAAAATGATATTTTGTATAATATGATTGATTTTGAATATTGTAAAATTATTTTTTGATAAAAGAAGCCCAAAATAAATTTTTATTTATTGTTATATTATTAAAAAACAACTTGTTAAATATACATATGTTTATGTGTTTTCATACAAAAATACAAGTTCGAACATATATACACGAACCATCGTGTAATATGCGGTATATGATAGATTTATCATTATACTATTTTTTTTATGTACAAATTATTTAATATAAATAAAAAAGATTTTTTATTTGTAATGTACAAAATAGTCGGTAAACCATCCTTGATACTTCAAGGCTCAATAGATTTATGAAATATTATTATTGTTTGTATAATATATTTAAAGATGTGTATGCATATATGTTTTATATACATATATTTATTTACGAAAATACTTTGAAAAATTTATCAATAATAAATAGTTCAAGTGTTATACGCTTAAGTGTCGTTGAATAGTTCCTCGCTAAATTACGCCAAATATTTCAATAAAATGTTATTCAATGCGCAAAAGTAATGTAATGTTTTACGCATCGCACGATATTATTCACGTGATAATATTGTCGTCACGCATATATTGGTGTGAAATGACTTAATTATATCCAATAATCAAGTAGAGACCACAAGTACATTTTTTATACTCATACATATTACACTGAAGTTCATAAATATTGGTTAAACCAGTCGTATTGAGTCAAGTTATGATTTTAAGTTTATAGACAAATTTCAAATTTTAAATATATTATTGTAAATTTAATATGGACGAAAATTATTGTTAGATATCTATTATGACTTATATATATAAAACTTATATATATATATATATATAAATAAATGGAAAAATTTATAACTAATAAATATTAATCTATTTACAATTAGATAAAAAAAACAAGTGAAGCATATAAGTGAAACTAATTCATTTAATGGAAGAATAAAGAGATGTTGGAACTTATTATACTATTATCCTAGTAGATTTAAATCGACTAGATCAATCAATACTTATGGCCTCTCTATTGTAATCTATAAGCATTATTTCTATTATAACTATTATTATGTTTTAGTAATTGTTTATGCGAACACAATGATGTATGAAATTGCACGTATTATTTTATAGATGTTGTGATGAAAAATATGTCACCACTTGAATAAAAAAAAGAATCTATTTATCTTTGATACAGCCTCATCGATAATATTATTAATTTAATTCTATAAATTACGTAATTAAATGTTACGTATATATCAAATAACTTATACATACATATGTAATACTAATGATATCTCATCTTAAAAATGAAATGAAAAATTGATGAAACAAACATAACGGTTTGTTTTACACAAATTTATCTGTGTATTTTATATGTAATTCACGATCCTTGATATATTTCTTGTCTTACTGTGATTATTTAAAAATTCGTTAGAGGAATTATTAAAATATTATCTCGTATAATCAATTATAATAATCAATATTGCAAGATCTAAAAAAATAAGTCAAACAATTTGAAGACATATAGTATACATTAAAATAAACAAAACAAAAATGTCTATTATAACTATCACTTTTCTCAAAATTTTTGTTGAAAGAAAAAGTAAAAACAAATTTTATTTATTTACAAAAAGTTTAAAAAGAAAAATGAAAAATCAAAACTTGAAATAAAACCTCATTTTGCCCATTTCCTCTAATTTTGAATTGATTTTTATCTTTCTAGAAAATTATTTAAGAACTTATTAAAAACATATTTTTAAATTATTTGACCATTTTTTTAACTATCTTATACAATTAAGCTTTTCGTTCAGTCTCTATCTATCAACATCTTATCTGAAATTCTTTCACAAAAAAACAATTTTAAAAAGATATACAATTATAATTACGTGTTAAGTACTTTATAAAAGACATTACTAAAAAACTACTTTTCAAACGAACATCAAACTCTAAGGAACGTCATGGATATGTATCAACATTCCTCCGTCGAAGTGCTCGAAATCTGAGTACTTGCTCCACTGGAGAAACTGCTCCTACAAGTTTCTACAACCAATGCTGTGTCCGGTACTTGAACAAATTGAACCTTTTCCTTCGGCCATCGGTTCCTTCCGTACATACAATTAAATATATTGTATTTATGATCTACCTCGAAATGACTAAGATTGCTACTATGCCGTCTTTTCAACACTTTCTTGGCCATCAAACTTCGATTATTTTTATAAGATAATTCTCTTCTGAAGCAGAAGAACTTCCTCAATTCACGTTTCACTCGTTTTGATCGATATCCGAATAACAATGGACTAATATAGGCGGCCAGAATCAAGAAACTGGAGGCCAGTATATCGTATTTATGAGACAAATGTTGGTCAGTATACCGAGGTAGATTTTTCATTACCAACAATATTACATATGGCGACCAACAAGTCAGACCCATCACGATCACCAGAGCGCTTATTCGTGCTGCTCTGGTCTCTTCTCTGTGCCTAAATATAGAACCATTGCTTATCCGGTCTTTCAACGAATTTATGTAGCTCGAGGTACTCCTCACGCTTGACACACGATGCAAGCTATCGTTTTTACTTGGAGCCGGTGTAATCGTCACTATTGGCGTCAGCAGACACGAGGACGATTCTATAATAACATTGCTACCGTTATTATCTTTCTCAGTCTTGGTACTATCTTCACATGTGTTCTGCAAAGTGTCTGTATTAAAGAACGTCGATAATCTACGGTTTGATCTCACTTCTGAAGGACTCGGTGATATTTTAGAATCTCCTTGGTTTGATAATTGATTTGTCAAGTCATCATCTACTTGTAATATATGTTCTTCTCTTTGATCATTAATTTCATGAATTACTTTTACCTCATTTTGCTTGACTTCATTATTTAAACTTTCTTCTCCTTCCATTTGAAAAATTTTCAATGATTTTAATGAATTTTTATCGCAAAGAGCTAAGGAAAACTTTTTATTATGAACGTTTAAATTATCAAAATAATCGAAACGAACTTCGTTTTCGGATTCATTGCTTTCCTCGATATCTAAACTTCTTGACATCCAATTATCCGTCACTTGTTCGTTTTCTTTCAAATTTTTCGATGATCTGTCGTTTTTTTCAGATTCCAGATCTTGCTCCCGATACTTATTTTGATCGATATTTTGTTCAATCACTAAATCATTGTACAAATTATCATTTTTACAATTTTTTTCATCATTTGTGAATTGAGTCACTTCAACTCTTTGTAAATCGACTGTGAAGACAATGCCTGAAGATGTCTTATCCTCTAAAGGAGGAGAAGATTCTTCTATATCCATGGAAGACGAAAATGATCGTCTTCGAGATAATTGACCAGTCGGTTGCATAGTTTCGCTCGTCTCATCTATTGACGATAAACTCGATATTTTCGGCAACTTGCGAAAATCTTCAATGGTATCCGTCTGAAGACGTTGAAGCCTAGGTGGAGCATTTTGATCTTCTGTGAAACTGGATGACGATAATATAGGTCTAGATCCACTTTTTCTAGTCCTTTCCGAATTTCTATGTGCAGCCACATAGATGCTAACATAAATCCAGCAAACAGCAACAAATGGGATGAAATAAGCAAATATACTGTATACGATAGCATAGACAAAGCCGTAAGTAATTGTATCACTTGTAAGCGTATCAAAGATCACAGTAGTAGTATTCTCTATGAGATCCATATTTTCGTCGAGTCTGATAGACTCGACAGTTTCCATTATTTCAGAAATTCCATTGATGTTCAGATTGGTGTTGTTATCCAATATAGTAACTGTTGATTCTGTTGTTAGAAAATCGAAGGAAATATTGGAAAATAAATTTTTGTTTCTGGATATGCAAGATTGCCAGAAACTTTGAGGATTTGGATTAAAAAAAGCGAGGAAGCCAAAAATTATAGAGATGAACCAGGTTGAAATAATCAATATTCCAGATTTCAGTTTGTCCACGCGAGCTCGGTAACGCAGAGGATCTACCACGGCAAAGTATTGATCCATGGCGATCAATAGGACCGAAAAGACTGAAGATGTGGTAACAATAGCCACGGCACCTTCTGATATCGCGCAAATACTTCCAATGGATTGAGATTCGACTATGAAGGAATTGGACGATGTCGAAGCAGCGTCCATAATTAACAATGGGTTCACGATGGCGCATACCAACAGGTTCGACACTGTTAAATTCATGACAAACCTGAAAAAAGAAATAATATATTTATCATAATATTAAAGAAATTATGCATAATAGTATTCAAATGTTTATACGTATATTAATATATCAATATATCAATATTATATAATGATAAAATAGAAACGAACCTGTTAGAAATAGTCCGTAATGACGGACGTATAAGGAATGCCAATAGAAGCGTGACATTTAGTAAGAAACAACCGAAAAGAACAAAACTCCAGGCTACTATAGCGTGATTATTCCACCATCCTTTTAGATCTCCTAGATCTGAAATCGGTCCTTCTCCGACGATGTCTGGCAAATCTCCAACCATTCATGTATAATAGATATTACACAATTCTGAAATGATAAGAAGAAGAATTTATAAATGTCAATTAGATTTGTATTATTCAAAATTGCGATATTACAAATAATTGAAAAATAAGATGAATGTCTAAATTCATGATTTCTCGTCTTGTAAAATTACAATATCGTAAAATAATTATTTAATTGTTAATAATTAAATTATTCATTTAATTATTATTTAATTGTTTGATTAAATTATTTGCGTACTGCTTCTTTATTATATGAATTAAAGTATTAAAGTTTAAATTTTTTAATAAAATTGTTTATAATTCCTCGTTTCTTATTTTTATTTTTCAATTATATAAATATATATATTTATTATATTTCAATAAAAAAAATTGTTTGTTATTGATAGTTGAACGATAATAGGAATGAATGGAATTAAATGAAAGAGAAATTGGAATCGAAAAATAGGTCAAATTTTTTTTTTACAATATCACGCATAACCTCAATATGTATGTAATATGACAACGAGGTGTTACCGTCAACTTATATTTAGACTTAACGGATTTTCCCGTAGACACGTGCTATAGAAATATCTGTGCAGTGCACGGGATAAGAACTATACATACCTTATGTTCGATTATTGTTACATTGACAGCCAAATACCACCGTGATCGTAAATGTTTAATTTAATATCTTCTTCCACTTTTGAAAATAGTTTTATCAAGATTTTAATAAAAATATATAAGAACATAATTCTTTCAAAAAATTCTCATAAAAGAATAAAGTATTTCTCATAATTGGTACAGTTACTTAAGATCATTCCTACTCAAATTTTTATATAGTTAAATTATCACAATCAGGAAATCATTGAGTTATAATTAAATAATCGTAATTATCGTCATTAAATGATGCATTTAAGTAAAATAATTTACAATCTCTAATAATTTTTTTCTTAAGATGTCTGATCCATGATGTTTAAGCATCATGGATTGTGTATTTAAAAAAAATATCAAAAGACTAAGAAATTCAGGAATTTATAATTCATATAAATAACGAAATTTATTTAATTTTATTAAATAACTGATTCATTAATAAATTATTATTCATTAATAAATAATTCGAAAATTTATAAAAAATACATCATTCACGAAAATTACAAAAATCTTTCATTGTTATTTATATTAAAATAATATTTATTAAAAACAAATTAAATTTGTTTGGATTATATGATTATGAATTACAGAAACGAATTAAATATTTTCCTATTTTTAAAATATACATATCGATATTGTTCGAAATAAAACAAACAAAAAAAAATTACAGTCTTAAATTTTAATGCTAAAAATAAATATATGCAGTTATAATTATTTAAGGAGAATCGTATATAATCATTTCAATCACAGTTCAGAATTTTTAAAAAGTTTTGATTAGAAATGACCCAATTCTATTCAAACATATCATTTCTATGTTAATTCTAATTTCTGATTTGCATGATTTATGATAATTATGGATTATAAATTATGGATTATTTGGAAAGAAAGTAGATTTCATAGACATAGAAAAGTAGATATAGAAAAATTCAAACATCTCTAGTGAATTATTTAAATTTAAAAAAAAATAAAATATAAAATATAAAAATGAAGATTGCTCATTTCATTCAAGAAAAAAAATATATAAAAATGCATAATCAAATATTATTAGCGATTACATATTCTTAGAAGATGCTGATTTCTATCTATTCTATCAGAAAATAAAGAAAGTTCAGAAATAATTTATTTTTTTTTTTATTTTTAATAAATTTTCAAATTCGTTTTTTTAAATTTTTCATATTATCATTTTATTTATATGTATACATTTTTTTTAAATTCTTTATATGATTTTATTTAGAAAAAAGAAAATTAACATTTACATTAAAAAATGAAAGAAAATAATTATAAAAAAATAATCTTATTTGAGTTATGCAAGTAATTAATTCTACTGTAAATCTTCAAATTAAAATTGATTTATTCTATCTTCTATATATCATAAAGATAGACATTCTGACATAATTCATTATTCATGATCGCACAATATATGCATGGCTAAATTCATATCAATAGAATTTGTTTTAAAATGAAAGAAGTACTGCTATGTTCCATTCGGCAAGTACTCATTCGTCCATAACATATGTATATAAGCTGTAAGATTAATGCCAATAAATCACCAGTTGCAATCACTTTTATGACCACTACAACACAAAAACAATGAATATCTAAATATAGCTGGAAAATTAAAGCAGTCAGGTTAGGAAGAGCTTAAAATTATGCAGATCATTGCGCATGCGTGGATTCAAAACGAATGTCATTAAATGTAAATTTCATTGACTCTCATTTTCAGTGATAACCGCGTGAGCAAATAAATATTACGTGTGAATCGTTTGTCTAATATACTTGCTCAATCATTTTTTCGAGCATGATACAGTATTTATTCGTTATACACATATAAATTCACAATTCGGAATCAACATATACAATTGCAACACAAAATTTTAATTTCATTTAATTTTTGCCAATAACAATCAAAGAGACTATAACATCTAATAAAAAAAAAAAAAAAAAACAAGAAAACATGAGAATATTTGAAGAAATTTCAATATCCCTGTTTCAATGTAATGTTACTATCTTCAAGGTAGAATAAGCAGTTTTGACGTAGATTAAGTTTTCATGTTAAAACTTATCTCTCTGTAAAAAAAAAAAAAAAAATCGAAAAAAAGCAAATGAAATATCATTATGATCAAGATCGAAAAAAAATTAGAATTCGAATTTTTTTAAACAATTAGAAACATTAATTATACAACAATGATATATATAACTTTTAAACTTTTACAGCAATATTATATTCAAATAGTTATAAATAATTATTTCTTTCTTATCTATTTTTTTCTTATAATTAACATTGATTCAAAAATAACTGTATTATCTATATCAAAAGAGAAACTCAAATTATGGTAGTAGAATGCAAAAGAAAAAATTTTTTAATTTTTTTTTTTTTTGCAATTTGCAAAAAATTTTACCGAAATAAAATAATATAATGATCTCTATACTTCAAAATGTATCATGTATCTGCACTAAAATCATTTTTTCAATAGAGATGAAGTTCAATTGATTCAAAAACTTCACAAATATTTTTGAAAAAAAATGACTATCAAATAATAAAAATATAGTAAAAATTCAAGTAATATAAATTTAAAAATGTTATAAATTTAATGATATTAAAAATATATTATATTCTTTTTTTTAATAAAAAATCAAATTGTATTTAATAATAATTCTTTTCAAATTTTTCCATTCCATTTGATTTATGCAAATCAAGAACGAATAAAATGGAAATTAGCATGATTCTATTCTTTATATATATAGATAATCCTAATAGATAATTCAGATCAATTGTTGACTTGTATTAAGTGAGACTCAATGTATAATCATTTAATAACATTTTAAAGATAAAATAAGAAGAAAAATTGATCATTTTTCGGATTATTATTCTTCATCGATACTAATGGAACACGTGCAACTCATTACAGCTAAAATTACTCGAGATGATAAATCGTGAAAATTACAGATCACATACATCGCTTGAGCATGAAAGAATTTTTATATGCATTATATCGTCGTATGCATATATTAACGATACATCGAGAGATATAGATACAATTACAACTAGAAAATATAAAAAATATTTACGTAGATAAATAATTAGATTGTATAATAAATAAATTATTATTTTAAATAATAGTAATGATAAACTAAAATAGTAATTAATCATGACTTAAAGTAAATTGAATTATTAAAAATAAAATATTTCGTGTCGAAAAAAAGAAATGCATTAATAATGCATTTTCTTATTTATTGAACAATACAAAAATTTTAAAAATTTATCTATCTATTATAGCGATTTCAACAAACGAAAATAATTTTTCTTTCTATATAATAACATCATAGACGAAAAAATATGATTCTTTTCCCATCGCATTCATAACATCAAAATAATAGATAACAAACAGTATTTTTAAAAATGTCGTGATGAATTTAGTCCAAGAAAAAAACCAGAAAGTAAAACAAAAAAGGAGTAAAAATATTCGTTTTTAAGGACGTCAAGCTGTGAAAATATGCGAATATGTTTTTATATTGTTTAAAAGTCACGCTGAATTATATATCCATATTAAGCATTGTGTTGAGAAATTTTTTTAAAATAATTATTGTCTCAAGGAAATTCCACAAAAAAGAAAGCTAATATTTATATATAAACTTTTCTTCTTTTAATGATCAATTATATTTCTAAAAATTATATAATTATAATATATAAAAATTACAATTTAATATTGATTCATATTAAAAAATAATTTTTATTTTCTATATATTTATATACATTTTATTCATTTCTTTTCTATATTATAGATTATACAATGTATTATACAATGTATACTTATTTAATTTTGTATTTATTTTCATACCTTTATTTATTTAATAATATATTTGTATTTATTTAACTTTGAATTATTACTGTACTACTAAACTGTATTAATAAATACAGTTCCAATATAGTTTAAATTATATATATAAAATTATTGATGATGAAAACAATAATAAAAGAATACATGAAAATATTTAAATAATATAAATTTGCTATATTCAAATATGAACAACAAAACAAAAAAGAATGAAAATTAAAAATATTTACTATCTATATTGAAATTTGATTAAATGGTTTTTAAATTTAAATCTCTTCTAAATTCAAAGATTATTAAAGATTAAAATGGAAGCTAACCCCGAGAATGATTTATTGCTTTGTTATCTGATGAGCGTAAAGTATATTCTCAAGTATACTGAAATCTTATCTGGGTTTCAAGTTTTCGTACTATAGGCACATTGTATTGCATAAATATGTATATTATTGTTTAATGCGGGATAAAATTTTTAATCAATGTAAACAAAGTAATATTTATATTATTTTTAATTATTTAAATTAAAAAAATTATTACATTAAAAAAAATTATTTAAATAGTACAT